CTGGGATTACAGGCGTGAGCCACTGCCCATGGCCCAAATAGGCTTTTCTCAAAAGAATACATACAAACTGCCAACGGGTATATTGTTTAAATGCTCAAAATTATTAATCATCAGGTAAATGCTATCAAAACCACAATGAGATATCATCTTATCCCAATTACAATGGCTATTATCAAAAAGAAAAAAATAACAGATGCTGGCGAGGATGTGGAGAAAAAGGAACTCTTCTACACTCTTGGTGAGTATGTAAATTAGTACAGTTGTTATGGAAAACAGTATGGAGGTTTCCCCTAAAAACTAAAAATAGAACTCTTATACAATCCAGCAATCCCACTACTGGGTACTTATCCAAACGAAAAGAGATCACTCAGTATATCAAGGGATACCTATACCCTTATGTTTACTGCAGCACATTCACAATAGCCAAGATATGGAATCAACCTAAGTGTCCATCGATGGGTGAATGGATAAAGAAAATGTGTTAAATATACATAATCGAATACTCCTCAGCCATCAAATGTTCCTGTCATTTGCAGCAACATAGATGGAACTGAAGGTCATTATGTTAAGAGAAATAAGCCAGGTACAGAAAGACAAATATTACATGTCTTCACTCATATGTGGAAGCTAAAAAAATTCATCTTATGGTGTGTACAATGATAGGTTGGTGAATGAGTACAAACATACAGTTTGTACACACAGAAGGAGTAAGTTCTAGGGTTTGATAGCACAGTGGGGTTACAATAATTAACAATATTATATTGTATAGTTCATAACAGCAAGAAGAGAAAAATTGAAATGTTCCCAACATAAATAGTAAATGTTTGAGGTGATGAATAGCCTAAATACCCTGATTTGATCATTACACTTGTATGGATGTAACAAAATATCACTTGTACCCATAAATATGTAGAATTATTATGTGTCAGTTTTTAAAAGCATCAAGAAGAAATCAGCAGCCTAATTCAGCATATCACTTAAGTACAACGTATCACTTATGTGAGATGTTGACAAAATCACAACCAGTAATTTTTGTACTTCTATCACCATTTAAACCATATCCACATAACCTCCTACACTGTTGTTTCCTTGATATTGTTTTAAGTTGACTCTTTTTTACTTAAACTTATTTGTAAAAACTTATTTGTAAAACGTATTTGTAAAAAAAAAAAAAAAAAAAAAGGGAGGGGGGAGGCTGGAGACATCTGGGGCCAAGAAACTAAGGCAGGGCAAAATGTGAGGCCCAGGCAGGGATGCTGGAAAGGGAAGAGGGAGACTAGAGGTGGGAATGAACAGAGAGCTGAGGAATGGGTGGGATTAAGGAAGGCCCACAGTGAATGGGTGGGGCAGGGGTGAACAGCCCAACAGAAACAGATGTCAGGTAAAACAGATTGTCTTCTGGACTGTGCCAGGCAGTGACCAGCAAGAGAAGCTCAAGCAACACCTGTAAATCACCTAAAATCATCTCATGTACTACCAGTGATGGACATTCCCACATGGTGGGAATCACTGCCTGATGCTCTATGAACAAAGAGCCGCAGTCTTTCGTTCTTCCCCTTTTATTATCAAAAACAATATTACATATAAACAAAGGAATGTAAAAGTCTACCTTACTTGTCAGGTCTCCATGAATACACCAAAAACTCAACAACAAAAAGCAATATGACTTCTTTTATATACAACTCATGCTTCTTATCTCTATGAGCTCTTTTATTTTGATAGACAGTCCCCACCATAGCAACCATCTCCTTAGTCAACGTCTATAAGCATAGAATACAATCAGAAGAATTGACAAACGCCCAGTAACAACCAACCATAAAAACAGCATCTGTTATTAAGGAGAATAAATCATCAAAATAATGTCTGAACAAGCTGGTAGTACACTGTCATATAAATTCTTGCATATAGTTAAGTATAGCCCTAGAAAACAATACCCTTTATTTTTTAAATCCTTACCCTTAGCTGAACAATGACAGGGGAGACAAAAGATTAGTCTGCAATCATCAAGCCTACGCTGTTATTTCTTTGTAAAGTTTATTTCAGCTCCATGATATGTTCTAATGTTTCCTCCCTTTTCCTAGGTGTGTCAGATCACAGATTTACTTATCCTCCTGTCACAGCCAAGTGAGTGACTCAGGCCAGCACACAGCTCATTGATTATTTCAATTCCCTGGGCTAAACTCATCAGTTCCCACTTCTCATTTCCTATATCCTCCTTACTTTTTTGAGGCCTGTTATTTTCAAGATGACATAAGGCCCGACAATGATAAGGGAGGGCAAAATGATATAAAATCTTAAAACAGATCAAAGGAGTTAATTCTGTTACACTTAGAAAGATCAAATCTAAGGAAATTCTGTTCACTGCCCAGAAAGGCAGGTTCATCTTTTATTCATTTATTCATTCATTCCTTCAACAAATATTTATTGAGCATCATTCATGAGCTAGCTCAGCCTAACACACCACTGTAAAACATGCCATTTTCTATTCAATGTTAGGTAACATTTGTTACGAGACGACAGTTGCTATATCTGAAAATTCTTTTTGAATATGGATGTGGGTATGCACACATGTTTAATACTTTAATAGCAATTAACCAGAACTGGGCAACATAATCAACACCCAACCTCCAAACGCCTGGAAATCAGACACCCCCTACTTAGTCAAGAGCTACTAGTCTAAAACTTCACATTAAGGAAAACCCTATAGATTGAAAGACACATAAGCTTTCAAATTACAGCCATATGTGGTGATCAAACATGCATGGAAGACCACATAATTCTTGCAACCAGCTTTTGCTATCCAAGGGGACAGGTTAATCTATCAACCCAAAAATTCATTAACCTGGCATTTCCAAAATACCTAATGCTATATATGCACTAACACCATAAATTTCCCCCAAATTCTATGACATAGGCATTATTATTAATATTCCAATTTTTTAAATTAACAAATTGAGGGTTGGTTAAGTATAGCCCTAGAAAACAATACCCTTTATTTTTTAAGTCCTTACCCTTAGCCATTTATTCAAGGGCACTTAGAAGGCAATGGAGCTAGAACTTGAACTTAAGTTTGTGATTCATGAATTCAAGCACTTCTAAAAGATAAAAATAAATTGGTAGTATTATAGCTTATACATTAACATCTAGTTTCTTCTAATTAGCATCATATGGTCGTGTGAATCTTGTTTTAATTCATGTAAGTATAAATTGTCTCTAAGCCCCTAACCATTTTTAATTGCACTTTTCTTAGTTCCTGGTTATTATATACCACCTGTTCCTGTCTTTCCCAGGATGTTTGTTGGAGAGTGAGAATTAACTGTCTTGGTAATGAAATCCACCATTTAAAGAGTACTTTGTTTGTGCCATACACTGGGCTAAGTATTTCACTTGTAGTTTCTCACTTAGCCCTTACAGCAACCCTCTGAATTGGTACTACTATTATCATCATCACCTCCTTTTTTTTTCTTATTATACTTTAATTTCTGGGGTACATGTGCAGATCACGCAGCATTGTTACATAGGTATACACATGCCATGGTGGTTTGCTGCATCCATCCCTCATCATCTACATTAGGTATTTGTCCTAATGTTATCCCTCCCCAATACCCCCACCCCCTACTATCCCTCCCCTAGCTCTCCCACGCCCCCCAATAGGCCCCAGTGATCATCACCCCCTTTTTTTCTTAAAAAACAAAGGAAGGAAAGGAGGTACAGAGAGGTAAAGCAACTTGCCTGAGGTCACGCAGATAAGGAGGATTCACACCTGGTGGTCTCTTCCCACTTCTCTCAGTCTATGATCCTCATCAGCATGAAGTTCTGGTTTCCATCTTAACACCCTTATCTCAAGTCTGGGCTCCCACTGGCCTGTTTCTCAGTGCTAGTGAGAAACTGCTTTTAGTGTGTGCTGGTTTGGTTTCCTCCATTTTTGATTTCTCTCCTGATAAGGGCCGTGGTTCACCTGCTCTTTGCAGCTCTCTGCTTCCACCTGTTATTGATCTCCCGGCACACTAAAACTATTCCTGATAGAGATGAATTCACCTTGGGCTGCGTAGCAAGGCTTCCCCAGGGCCATCTTTCCCATCAAGAGTTTGATCTCATTCTTGCCAAAATCTCTTAAAGAAGCCAAAGCTTTTTAAAAAAACATTCAACATTTTAAAAAATCAATTACCAAAACAGAGTTCACAGAACATCTGGATTTGTGTCACATTATCAGGAGACTTTAATTGCATTAATATCTGATGGTAAAATGTATTAAGGTCAGATTAATCTGAGGAATAAAACTGATTTTCTCTTTTCTTTCCAGTAACTGCAAATTCTATACCAGCTCTTTCTACAGATAATCAACAAAGGGAGTAACCTCAGGATAGGTGTTAATAGTTCCGTGATGCTAAGAGGTGCAAAGGGAGGAACTCAGCATTTACTAAGCACCTATTGTGTGCACCAGACATGATGTTATATATTTTACATGTATGAATTAAACAATAGCTCCAGAGCAACCCTAGCACATAGGTTTTACCATGCCCATTTTACAGATGGGTAAACAAGCTCAGAAAAATCACATAAATCAGACTAAAGTCAGTGGCAGAGCTGAGACTTGAGCCTGAGTCTGTTTGCCCCCAGCTTCTGACTGCAGGAACCATTTCTCCTTCTGCATTGCTTCTCAGAGAGTTCTATCAAGAGCCCTGCAAGAATGGCCTTAACTTGTATTTGACTACAGTACTGAGCTTGATGAGAAACCCAGCAAGAAATGAGATCCTCTTATACAGATGCTCCCCCAAATGATCCTGTGCTCCCAATTCCCAGCTGGGTCATACAAGTCCCCAGAAAAAGAGCCTTTCTTTACTTTCCATGGGTTTGTTACTTGCCTCTGTTTCATTCCTTCTCTCTCTTCTTGGCCCCCCTACCCTCTGTTGTGTCTTTCTGCATGTCTCTTTATGTCTCTGTGTGTATCCATCTCTCTCAGTCTCTCTCTCACACAAGCATACACACATTCAGGATACCTCGATCCAGCAGCCGGAGCAAGCGGAGATACCAGAGATACCACTGGTCCCAGAAGCGGTCCGTCATCCCACCCTGAACTCATCCTTCACAGCCAGTCCCCTCGGCAGAGCCTCATCCCACCACCGCTGACTCGAGGAGGCCGGAATCACTTGATGCTGGGCTAGCACACAGCCTGCTCTAAGCAAATGCCTGCCTGCAAAGACAGCTACAAGTCCTCCCACACAGAGGCTGACTGTGCCGGGAGCCGGTTTCACAGCAACAAAGGAACAAGTGCAGAACAACGCCGTGTGCAGACCGAGCCTGCCTGGACCCAAGGGGAGGTCGGAGATGCGTGGGAGGGAGTCAGGAAGGGCTTTCGCAAAGACGCGAGGTTTGCAGTGGTCTTAAGAATGAAAATCCACAATCAAGTCCATCTCTTAAATTTTATTCCAGTATCTCCGGCCATTCTGGCTTCCATGCTTCCCACACCAGAGACCAGTGGCTCCTCCAATAGAATGTGGGATGGGAAGCCAAAAGCTCAGCCATTTTGGACTTTGAGGCCAGTCCCGGAGCCCGGGAGCCTTACTGCCTCACTGTCGGGTCCAAGGGCTCTCCTTGCCCAAGACTGTAGGACCCACATGACCAGAAAAAGGCCACAGATCCTTTTTTCCTATGTCCCTTCATGGAACCTCTGTTATAGTAGAGACAGCATGGGCTCTAAAGTCACACAGTCATGGGACCAAATCCCGGTTGCCACTTAATACTTGCCTGGACTGGATCAAGTTATTCAGTTCCCTGTGCCTCAGCTTTCTCCTCAGTAAACCAGAGAGAACAGTATTTGTAAGCCTCAAAGCAAAAGAAGAATATAATGTTTCTGGTGTTACACCTGGTAGATAGTGGCAGATAGAAGGTTCTCCCTTATCTCTCAACCCCTCTCCCTCTTGCCAGACTCTCAGTTCCCCACATGTTCATATATCCCATGGTTTTCTATTGCCAGGCCTTTGCTCCTGCCCTTCCTGCCAGTAGTATGCTCTCCCTACTCTCCCACCTCATCGTGGCCAAATCCTCCTGATTTTTCCAACAAATAATCCAAAATGCCACAGAATCCAGGCAGACTTCCTGATCTTCCTTCCTTTATATTTTATTTTTTTCATTCCTCCTTCTCATTTGTATATAACTCTTCTCCCTTACTTGCCCATAAATGCCATGAAGGTAGGATCTGCTTTTTAATCATCTTCGTGTTCCTCAAAGAACCCTGAACTTTGCAATTACTCGAGTGGTTACTAACTGGACAAATGAACATGCAAGGGGGTCTGAGTCTGTTGTTTTCAGGGAAAGGAGAAGAGTAAGCTGCAGAGATCTCAGCCCAGGAGCATTGTCTAAGGGGCTTTGGGGGATGACAGGGTGTCCAGTCCTTATCCTGCTCACAGCCCCTCTTACAGTGGGCCAGTCTGTGACCCACGTGACTGGAAGTGCTATTTACCTAAATGAAACCTGAGGATTCCCCAGGTCTAGGACGACCTTGTTCTCCAAGCCTAAAAACTACTCAACAGCCACCTGCACATTCATCACAGCTCTGTGCAGCCTAGGCCACACCGGCAATGCCTCCCCACTCTTCTAACAGAAATGGTGGTCTCTCAGGCCTCCTGGCCTCCATCAGGCAGCTGGTAAGGCATGTCTTCCTCAGTGGCAGCTCTTCCTTGGAACTTATGCCTCCAAGATGAGACAAGCAGCAGGTTTCTGAAGAACTCATATTGGGGAGGAGGCACATCCAGGGGGCAGGAGCTAGAAGGGAGAGGGAGAAAGCGAGCAGAGCCACAACCTCCACCGCCTGCCCCTGCCTGCCAACTGCGTTGTGGTTTCTTCTTAAAGGGCAGCACTGGGTCTGAGTAGAGACAGCCCCCCCACAGAAGCTACGTCTCAGGCTCTGTTAGCATTATTTTCTTATTACCTTAAATGGACAAGACTCCAGTGTGTAGTTAACACAAGAATGCAAACCCCTCCTCTTCCCTCCAGAGAGAAGTAATCCGGTGTTTCTCCCTTCACAAATAACAAGAATCCATCGCTCACGTGTGGCCAGTACTTTTTTGTTCACAAAGTACTTTCACAACTATCATCTCCTATGTGCCCAGCAAGATCTGTGGATGGGAATCACTTTCTCCAGTATACAGAAGAGAAAACCCATGTTCCAAAAGATTAAATAACACTCAAGGTCACACAACTTGTGGGTGCCCCTCTGTCTCCTCCCTGAGAGCTTCTGGGGCTCTAAGAAATTCCCTGGGAAATTATGATATATTTCACTGAGACATGGAAGCCCTCATAGTAGGGCAGGACCTGGGGAAATACAACTGTTTCCTAACAGGAATCCTGAGGGAGACCCCTCCAGGGCAGCACTGACATGCCATGGGCACAGGTTGAGTGGAGGGTCCAAATGTGGCCACTTATTAACTAAAGGCCTTTCATCTTTTGCTTTGGCCCCTGACTTATAACTTGCAGAGAGAGTGCATCTCCAAATAAGAATGCCAAAAAGGCTTTTTCTAATACAACTTGGAAGAAATCTGAAAGGGAGGCTCCCATAGTGGCAGGAGACTTAGAAAGAGAGGGGCAGGGGAAGAGCATCTCTCACTGTGAGGGAGAAAATCCCAAACAGTGCTCTAATGGTGCTAGTGCTACAAGTCTCATTCTTGGGCCTGGAGAAAGAAGCTGGCCCCATTCCCCTCCCTCCAGTAATTAAGGGCAAAACATTCCACACCGTCTCATTTGCAGAGGGAAAGGGAATAAAGACTATCAAGAATAATATGGGTGTGAGCACTTCCCCCACAAACAGTGAACCTAAGAACATAAGCAATACCCATCGGGTCAGCCCCAGGGTGAACCCATTCAGCCTGGAGTTTTACTCAAGATTGGCATCAACCCATCAAGCTGGACTCCTTGGAGCTCCCCAGCCCACCACTGCTCATTTCTCCAACTCCCACAGAGCCTCATAAGTCTTACTTGAAATGCAGCCCTTCCAGAAGTTGAATAAAATGTTCCAAGAGACTGTCAGCATTGCCATTTAACTGAAGTGCAATTAGAAAGGATATTGGCCAGGACACAGCCTTATTAGTAGGTTTTTGTTGTTGTTTTTGTTTTGTCTTATACAATGCTTCCACAGTGGTTCCTTCTTTCATCATGGTCAAAGCAAGCACAGCTATTCCCATTGGCATGTTTCCTCCAGCCCACCCAGATGGCTACAGAGACATGTTTTCCAGGAACAGGCTACGTTACCAGGCCAGCAACAGCCCATGTCACCAGGCCAGCAACAGCCCATGTCATCAGGCCAGCAACAGCCCATCCACTCCCGAGGGCTGATGCCCATCTGGATGTTCGGCAGTTACTTGATATCATAACATGGATGTGTTCCTTTCTCTTCGATGTTCCTTCTTCTTTCCTTGGCACTGTTCTTTCTCCCTCTCTTCACCCGCCCCAACTTGAAAACACTGTGTTCCCAATCAGATAAAGCCAGCACAAGTGTATGGAGCAGAAGGCAAGCAGTACGGAGGGAAGAGAGATCCAACCCTACCCCAAAATCTTTCCCACTCATCTCCTGGGACAACAATGACCGCTGTTCCCTCAGCAGCACTGGCCAGCTCCTCAGACACATAGACCTATCTGGCAAGTGAAGGCAACACAAGAAGTCACACAGTTGCTAGTGTCTGCAAACCAAGTGAAGACCATCCACAGACATACAAATCTCCCCAACCCTGCCCCAGGAAGTGGGCTCCACTTGGCTGCCATTTTGCCCTGCAAGCTGTGCTTCAGTTGTAACATGAATCAAACACTTCAGCAGACAGCATCCTCAGCCACCTCCCACACCACTTCTGTCCCCTTGGCGATTAGCGCCCAAGTGGTAGAGTGGAGCCTGTGGCAACACATTCTCAGGGATGTCATTTCAAGGGTTGGTTGGATCGCTGCCAGTCTCTCCCATGAGAGCTTAGTGTCCCCAGGTGATTGGGCTTCTTAGGTCCACAGCCAAGGACGGTATCTACAACAAGAAAGTATCAACTAGACACTGAAATTCAAGCCCACGTCTCCCAAGAGGCTGTTTCCAGCTAACCTCACACATTCTCTATCTCAGAGGTTCTCAAAGTTTAATGGGCAGAATCACCTTAGAGGGTTGGTTATCCATGCAGATAACGAGGTCTCACTCCCAGATGCCTGCATTTTTAACAAGCTCCCGAGAGAATTTTGCGGTAATCCATCCACTTCAGTCTCTGCTCTCCTCTCCTACCCTCAGCACCAGCTTCGTGTCACTATCCTGAATTCTAGTGTATACCCCACCTCCCTCAACACCCTTAAAGTGCAAAAGGAAGGGTAATTCTGAGCCCCCCATTAGACTAGGCTCACCTGGAAGGCAGAAGGGGCTCTCTCCTCTCAAGGCCCAGTACAGCGTCCCACATGGAGGGGTGAGAAGCTGCCAGCCAGGAGGCTGAGAAAGCCTCCCCAGGCTCCAGAAAGCCTTCATTCTGCCACAGTTCCACTCCACATCTGTACAATGGCTTTAAATGTCACCTCAAATATCAGGTCAGGTGGAGAGAAAGGCAGAAGCTAATTATTCCACCTTGCCTCAGCTTTTGTGTAGCTTTCATCCTGCTCACCTCCGACCTCTGCTGAGATATTTAACTCTGCCTTGGCCAAGGCATGCCCAGCTCATGGAAGACAACTTTTCACTGCCCTGGGCTCTAAACCACCTTCTTAGGTGGTAAAAACATGATCCCTCCTTACCCCTTCTCTGAGGGCTTCTAGTTCCCCCAGCAGTCAATAAAACCCCATGTTACACTGAATCTCTAATACAGTATGCCACCCCAACACACCCCACTGCCACTGCCCACCTAAGGGCCAGACCCGTCTCCTCTTTCATGACCTTATAAAGCTCACCCATCCTGGGCCCAATCCCCTCTCCAGTAAGTCCTGTGGAAAGTACCTTGACAACCTTATCCCGTTCAAGGTATTTATGATGCAAGCTTAACATTTAGGCCCTCAGAAAATGTTTCTATTTTGGTAAAAGATAAAGCCTAAGTGAAAGGAGGGCATAGAGGAGTTCAGGCCTTAGGTAAGCAGCGGTGGGGGTGGATATCTGGAGTCAAGGGCAGAGTCCATGACTCCCTTCCCTAGGTCTTCACAGGCATGTCCCTGTGAGGCCATCCTGTGGAAGTGAATCACAGGAGTTGGTGCTCCTTTCATCCTCCCTCCCTCACTG